TCATCATCTTTGGCTTTGGTGGTTGGTGCATAAATTTGAATAATAGTCATATTAACCGGTCTTCCTTGGCTTGTATTAGGTTTAGTTTTCAGAGTGACATCTTTGCTCCTTAACACTTTAAAGAGGTCTATTTTGGTTACCTAGTGCTGCTCTAACAGAAAACATACCTCAGGTGGGTGGCTTTAACAAACAGTTTATTCACTTACAGTTTAGGAGGCTAGAAGTCCTAGCTCAAAGTGACAGGCTCTAAGGGCTTGGTGAAAGCCCCTTGACCTTGGGCTTCAGCTCTGCTTCTTGCTCCTGGCACACTGGAGCCAAAGGTGTCTCTTCACTCAGACAGCTGCTGGCTGGTGAGGCTAATAAGCCCAAGGTCAGCAAATGAAATGGCACTGTCTCAAGATTACCAAAGGCCACTAGTTCAAGTCCAGAGGCAGTCTCAAGATCAGAGGAAACAGCAGGATGCTAAATGAAGCTTGGACTACATACAGGGTCTGTTGTTGTTGTTGTAGGGTCTAAATGTACCAAAAAGCTGCAGAAACCTTTCTCAATGCTTCTTATATACTGGAAGCAAACCACATCCGTAAGGCAGGTACTCAACTGTTCCAGTAGATTCCACCATGGAGTTGATTACCAGTCTCATCATGGGAATAACTACATCCAGTTGCACAACCAGTCTAAACCAGGCCCAGCCGAGTTGACTCATAACCTTAACTACCACAAGGTCTTTTGCAGCAGATTTGCCCGGTGCAATACACCTGATTTCTTGACTGCTGCTTCCATGGGTGTTGCTTGTGGATTCAAGTGAAATGAAATCCCTGACAACTTCAATCTTTTCTCCATTTATCATGATGTTGCTTATTGGTCCAGATGTGAGGATTTTTGTTTTATTTATGTTGAGCTGTAATCCTGAAAGCTGTAGTCTTTGATCTTCATCAACAAGTGCTTCAAATCTTCTTCACTTTCAGCAAGCAAGGTTGTGTCGTCTGCCTATCGCTGGTTGATAATGAGTCTTCCTCCAATCCTGATATGGCGTACTTCTTCATATAGCCAGTGTCTCTAATTATTTGCTCAGTATACAGATTGAATGAGTATAGGGAAAGGATACAACCTTACCACCCACCCTTCCTGATTTTAAACCATGCTGTATCTCCTTGCTCGGTCTGAACAACAGCCTCTGTGTCTATGTCCTGGTTCCTCATAAGCACAACTAAAACTAAAAAAAAACTCACTGCCATCTAATCGATTTCAACTCATAGCAACCCCCTTTGGGTTTCTGAGGCCACAAATCTTTATGGAAATAGATTGCCCCATCTTCCTTCCATAGAGCAGCTGATGGGTTTGAACCACCTATCTTCTGCTTAGTAAATGCCTTAGGCACTGCAAAGTGTTCTGGAATTCCAACTCTTTGCAATGTTATCCATAATTTGTTATGATCCACACAGTGGAATGCCTTTACATAGTCAATAAAACAGAGGTCAACATCTTTCTGATATTCGTTGCTTTCAGCCAGGATCCATTTGACATCAACAATGATATCCCTCGTTCCACATCCTCTTCTGAATCCAGCTTGAATTTCTGGAAGTTCCCTGTGAATATACTGCTGCAACCATTTGAATTATTTTCAGCAAAAACTTACTTGCATGTGATATTAATGATATTGTTCAATAACTTCCATATTCTGTCGGATAACCTTTTTTTTGGAATGGGCACAAATAACGATTTCTTCCAGTTAGTTGGCAAGGTTTTCCACATTTTTTTTGGAATAAACAAGTAAGTGCCTCCAGCACTGCATCCATTTGTTGAAACACTTCAATGGATATTCTGTCAGTTCCTGTGGCCTTGCTATGCTATCTATGTAGATGAGTCATAATCCAAAAGCAAGTGTCTTTGAAAATGTGCTGTTGTTATATGTATATCTGATTGTGGTTGAGCTGGACATACTGAGAATTTATCAAATTAATGAAGAAAAGTTCTCCAGTTTCCCCACCTTACTTTCCATTAGAGGTAATGTAGGGAAAGACTGCAGTGTCCAAAGCACACTGTCTTCCCTTTTTAAACTGTATTTGAGTTCAGGGGAGTATTTAGTGCTTACATGTAAAAGATCTCTAAAACCAAAAAACCAAACTCACTGCCATTGAGTTGATTTCAACTCATAGCAACCCCATTGGGTTTCTGAGGCAGTAAATCTTTATGTAAATAGATTGCCTAGTTTTGCTTCCACAGAGTGGCTGATTGGTTTGAATAACCATCCCTCTGGTTAGCAGTCAAATGCCCTAGGCACTACTAAAAAGACCTCTAAGGAATGCTAAATTGAGTGGGATGAAGCATATAAAGTGCCTAGCATAAGCCTAGGAGCTCTGCTGGTGCAGTGCCTAAGGCATTTGGCTGCTAACTAGAAGGTTGGTGGTTCAAACCCACCAGCCACTCTGTGGAAACAAGACTGGTCAATCTACTTCCGTAAAGATTTACTGTCTCAGAAACCCAATGGGGGTCTCCATGAGCTGGAATTGACTCGATGGCAATGAGCATAAGCCTGACCCATCATAAAACCCCATAAGCCCATCATAAATGTTTTTATTATTGGTGGTGATGGTGGTAGTAGTTGCTGTGGAGACAATGTCTACTCATGGCTACACCATGTGTGCAGAGTAGAATTGCTCCACAGAGTTTTCAAGTCCTTTCATGAAGCAGATCACCACCAGGCCTGTCTTTGAAGGCATTTCTAGGTGGGTTCAAACTGCCAACATTTCAGTTAGTGGTCAAACCACCCAGGGATCTAAATATCCATTGTTGTTGTTATTTTGCCATCGAGTCAGAGTCAGCCCTGACTCATAGCAACCCCTCCTTGGGTTTCCGAGGCAGTATCACTACAGAAGTAGATTGCCTAACCTTCTTTCCATTAAAGAGGAGTTATTTCTCATTTCTTATTAAAGGAGTCTGCAATGAAAACAGGGCAGGTCACGGGTGTTCCCCTGGACCAGTCATTTAAAGTCTTCAATGCTATAAACCAGATAGTCTGTAGAAAAAAGGGGCAAAAATAATCAAAACTCTGATTGTTAGATTAAAAAATTCATTTATTCAATCTCATTGAGTTCCTAACCCGGGCCAGGCATTTTGATAGGCAGTTGTGACTTTAAGCTATTCCTTTCTGTGGTTCAAAAGCTCATTTGAACTATATTGTTTTGTATATATTTTATAGTCTTTTGAAATTAAATTTGCAGATAATGGTAACAATGCCAAATCACATACCCTGAAATGGTAAAATATTCATAGAAATAACTCCCTAATCTGGTGGCCCTGACTTCTGGATCTGATAAAACAGTAAAATTTCAAATAAAGTTGAGAGAACCAACAGAGTGTTGTTTTAAAAAAGAAGAAGTCTTCATCTACTCTTTTGACTCTATTTCATAAAAGAAAGCACCTTTTAAACCATAAGGATAAGATGGACATAAGTTCTGAATAAAGAGCAGCCTTTATATTGAATACATTGAGCTTTCTAACCCATTGCCATTGAATCAATTCTGACTCTTGGTGACCCACCAAGTCACCCATGTGTAGCAGAGTAAAACTGTGCTCCAAATGGTTTTCAGTTGCCCTCTGGGTAGACTTGAACCTCCAACTTCCCCATTAGTAGCTGAGGTTGTTAACTATTTGCACCACACAGGAACTCCATAGCTTTCCCAAAATCTTGCTATATTCATACTTTCCTAACTTTGCCAAGGACCAGTAAAAACTCTGTCACTGACGAGGGAAACCTTGCTCTAAAATCTTTTTTCTTCTTAGTTTTTCATTTGCTTGTTCACAAACCAAAAAAAAAAAAAGTAGAATACACATAACCATCAACAATTCCACCCTAAAGAGGATAGGTTAACTAACAGCCCCTTTTTCATAGAATATAATTTACAAATTTATCACTTGCTTATATACCAAAAAAACTTTTGCAAAAAATACACTGTTTCTTCAAATAAATCATAATGTCTTAAATTCACAATTATTGACATTAAAGTAGAAATACGTATTCAAATAATTTTTTAAACATGACTGAATTATAAACTGTGATAGTTGGAGCTGTGTGTCAACTTGGCTGGACCACAATTCTGTGTGGTTTAAGCAGTTGTGATGTGGTTATTCCCGTGATGGGATCAGATGTATATGTTTTGAGCAGCAATCCATTGAAAGGGAGTTTCCCTAGGGGTGTGGCCTGCTTCCAGTATATTTATGGACATCCTGGGAAAAGAGACACTCTTGTGGATTGGGATTCTGTTGTGCTGCTTACACCTGTCCGTGAGCGAACAATCCACCATTTGGCCTGGAGATCTTGGATTCGTCATTCGTTGGAGTCAACAGCTGGTATACTGCCTGCCAACCTTGAGCTCCTCAGCCCCTGCAGCTGCAAGAGTTGAGAAAAGCCTCCAGCTTGACATTTGATCCAAGAACTTTGGACTTACCAGCTTCTATAAGCATGTGAGCCATTTTCCTAAGATAAATTTGTCTTTCTCTCTATATATATAAGCTTTACTGGTTTTGTTTCTATAGAGAACACAGTCTAACACATAAACCCATTATGAACTCTGAAGAATTTATTTATTTCACTTCATGGGATTTTACAAGTAATTTCACATTTCGAGTCAAGAGAAAACATTTCTTATGCATACAGCACTAACAGAGAGTATGATAAATCAATTAAATATTTAAATACAGAAATCAATTATTAAGTGGATTTCTATAAATGTCATTCACAGGAAAACACATAAAGTACAATCCACTCTGGATCTAAGAACCTTAATATATGCAAACATTGAAAGAAAGTATTCTTTTGAAAATATTCTCATTTAAAAAATACATTGTGAGAACGTTTTTATGAATGAAAGAATCAACTGGAACTTAGCAATTCACAAACAGGACACATAAACATGAAATGTTTAGGTATGAGCAAAGACTGCATATTGGCAGCTTAGAGAATGGTCTACTCTCTCCCTCCTCCATGGTGCAGTGATGTTTCATATTTCATAGTTTCTAAACTTCCTCAGGAGTTCTGAGGGAGCATCTCCAGACCAGCGGAAATGAAGGTGCCAAGAGTTCACATCTGAAAAACCTTTAAAAGAGAGAAAAGAAGATTTTATAATCAGTAGTAGGCAAAGAAAAGTCAAACAATAGTAAAACAACTTGGTGAATAAAGTGATATCATTTCACTCCAACAACTAAAAGGTAAGAGTCAGCCTTTGGTATTGAATTATTAATATTTTATGGAAATGTATTAACTTCAGCAGACTTTTGAATTCTTATGAACAAGAATTTCAATTTATATGGGTGAGAGGAACCCACAGGCTTAAATGCTTAACAATAAACGGAAATCTATAGATGCTTCCAGTGGTGGGAATTTTGACAATTCACCAGCAAAGAAGTTAGAAACAAGTTTCAAACAGCTGCCGTGTGTAAAAGGTCAATGGTAAAGGGCCCCTGGAAATACCAGTAACTCAGTTCCACGGCAGTGAGATTTATTTTAATTATAATAAACAACACTGTTGAAAACTAGAGAAAAGGTCATCTTCCTTCTCTACTGGAGGAAGTATAAATTGGCAAAACTCTGCTGGCAGGCAATTTTGACAATATTTATTAAGCTCATTAAAATGCTTATAACCTTTGATCCAGTAATTCTACTTCTAGAAATTTTCCTAAGGAAATAAGCATGGATGTGCCCAAGGATTTAGATGTTTATCATGCTTCAATTCATAAATGTTAAAAAAAAAAATCAAGAAACAACCTAAATCTTCAAAACTACAGTTGCTTAAATTGCCAAAAAATTAATAATTTTAAAATATTTGCTATTACAGAAAAGTTCTCATAACACATTTCTAAGAGAATGGCAGTTACAAAACAGTTCATATAGTACGATCTCATTCCTAAATTTACTTACTTACATGGGTACTTACATTAAAAAATAATTTTTGAAAAGTCTAAAATGAAGTACAGGAATACCTCAGAGATACTGCAGGTCTGGGTCCAAACCACCAAAATAAAGCAAGTATCGCAATAAAGCATGTCTCACAAATTTTTCTGGTTTCCCAGTGCATATAAAAGTTATTACCCTAATGAAAAGTGAATTTACTCTGTAAATCTTCACCCAAATCCTAATTTAAAAAAAATTAAATTAAATTAAAAAAAAAAAGTTATTACCCTATATTATTACCCTATATTAAGTGTGAATTATGAAAAAGTTTGTAATATTGTGAGAATTACCAAAATGTGACACAGAGACATGAAGTGAGTACACACTGTTGGAAAAATAGTACTGTTAGACTTGCTCCACTCAAGGTCGCCACAAACCTTCAATTTGTGAAATAAATAAATAAAACTCATCAGCAAAGCACAATAAAGCAAAGTGCAGTAAAAGGAGGTATGCCTGTACATCAAAATATTAACAGTTATCCTGAGTAGCGGAAATAGACATGTTTTCATTTTATACTCTTTCTTGGTTTTTTTTTTTGCAACGAATAAATACATATTCCATATGTCATTGTTTTATGTCCATAATATTGCTAATAAACAAGTAGTTTACAAAATAATATATAAAATGTGCTTCCATTCATATTAAAAATATTATCTAAAACTCTAGAAAAATATACACAAAGTAGTTAACAGTGTTTATATCAGGAAAATTGAATTTATTTGCACTTTCTTTTAGAATCATCAGAGAAAACAAATCTAAAGAATTTCTATTTGAGGAAAAAACAAAAGGAAATTGTTGCTGGTATTCTATCTGTAATTGAAACATGCACACAAAATATGTGTAGGATGATCCTATTTTAAGTATACTAACTTATACGAAGGAGCCACCAATCAAAAGTTTAGTGGTTTGAATCCACTAGCTGCTCCATGGGAGAAAGATGGGGCAGCCTTGGCTGGGGCAGTTCTACTCTGTCCTATAGGGTCACTAAGAGTCAGCATTGACTTGATGGCAGTGGGTTTTAATATATATCAAAATATACCAAAATATCAGTAATAGTTATTTCTTTAGTTGGTAAGATCATGAGTTGTCTTTTCTTCCTTTTGCTTAATCATATTTTCTGAGATTTCTACAGGAAATAGATGTTATTTTTGTAGTTTTTTAAAAAATGTTGTCTAATTTAGGTTCTCCTAGAAAGAGATACCCAGACAAGGATTTGAATACAAGTGGCTCATTTTGGAGGTGATCCCAGGAGACACTGGCAGTGGTTGGGGAAAGGAATGAAGTCAAATAAGTTATCAAGCAGCTTACCACCATGAGTGGTTGGGGTTTGATCTTACCGGAGAATCCCTGGAGCCCATGAGAACCTCTCAGTGTTACTTTACCTGAAAGGCGAGGGGCTGAGGGATTTAGCCTCCCACTCTCATTCCTTACTAGCTGATAGCTGTTCTCAAAGGGAGTTTGCTCCCAAAGTTTATTCCCTGTCTTTTTAAACCTATTATTTTTTTTTTTTTTTTTTTGGCTCTTTGACACTTTTTTCAAAAATTTTTATTGTTATTGTTATTTGGATGCAAATTTACAAAGCAAATTCATTTTACTCTCAACAGTTCATATACATTTTGTTTCACAGCACCAATTAAAATCCCAATAATAAACAGCTCTCCTCCCATCTCCTCCCTGTAACTACTGTTCCCCCCATGTAACTTCTTATCTTTGTATTCCTGTCGGTTCAGCTATGCAAAAGCTGTCCTTCTGATTTCTCACAATTGAGTGTTCTAAAGGGTGCATCTCCCAAGGGTAAATGGCTGCATCTCCTTGGCATAGGTATTCTGCTCATAGGCCTTTCTACTGTTTGGCTGAGAGCAATCTACTTCCGTAGTGATATCGCCTCAGAAACTCAAGGAGGGGTAGCTATGAGTTGGGTCCAACTCAAGGGCACATAACAACAACAACAATACATGGAAGTGAGTCCAGTTCCAGGTCTGAAGGATAACCTGGGGCCACAGTCTTAGGGGTTTCACCAGTCTCTAACCAAACAGTGATCCTGGTTATTTCTGTGTTTTTGAATTTTGTTCCACATTTTCCCACTCTATACAGGATCTCTAATTTCGATCCTTTTCCAAGTGGTTGGCACTAGTAGTCAGGCACCATCAAGTTCTTCTAGTCTCAGGGTCATGAAGGCTGAGCTTCCCATGACCACTTACACTTTTGCTGCCAAGCAGGCTCCACTGTCAGAGAACGGCCTCTGATGGAGTCATGATGGTTGTAGTAGGAACCAGAGAGTTGCAATGTCAGGAAAGGCAGGTACCCAGGGGATATGGCAGCATATCAACAGCATCTACTGTATTTTAATTTCTTTTCTTTTTTGCTTCAGGATGCTATCATGCTACATAACACTCTTTAATTCTAGAATTGTATTTATTACATTTTTACATGGAAAGAAAGTGAGATTGTCTTGTATGCCAGTTTTCAGAAGCCATGCTTCATAGTTTACTGGTTGCCATGAAGTGTTGGAGTGTGACTGGGGACTATTTTGTGGCTGCTCATCACAAAAAAAAAGCCATCAAAAAGAAAATTCCAAAGTAAGTATCAAGCATAGCTTTAGGAAATTAACAAATGTGCTAAAAAGTAATTTATGAGAAGCTACTCGGGGCTTGGTAAAACTGACATGAATGATATTCCTTAAACGCTGAAGTTATAAAATTTGCACTGCAGTAAAATGAAATCATAAGTAATCATGCCACCACACTTTGATATATCAAACTCAAAATTTAAGGCACTGCTCAGAACCACCAATAATCTCTTAAACAGCATTGAGGAAACACTGGTAAATGCATCCTTTGGCAGAATTTCATAATTCTTACCAACAGCAGCTTCTCAAAGATGCTCCTCCCTCCCCTGACCCTCACCATTTCATTCTTCAACCCAGTTAAAGGATATACTTCACAATGAGAGGACATCAAAACTGGTATCACAATTTATTCTGAGTAAATTATGATACATCTGCGTTGCAGAATATGATCAACTGTTAAGAATGAGTTAGCGCTAAATGTGAGGATGTCTAAATACTTGATGTATATTGTTACATATTCCTCACAAAAAAAAACTTTAAATTATTCAAATTTAGGAGATAGATGCCAGTATTTTTACCACTAAGAACTAAGACAGGAAGGAGGGGAAAGGGAGCAATCACTGCCTAAGCAGCACTGAGTTTCTGTTAAGTATGATGGAAAAAATAGGTGATGGTTGTAAACATGAGGAACATAATTAATGACACTGAATTATACATGTAAAAAATGTTGAAGTAGCAAATGTCTCATTTACCATAATTAAAAAAAAAAACTAAGGTTGGATACCTAGCTTGCCCAGGAAAAGCTGGGTTGTGGACCCAGTCCAGTTCCAATGTGTGCACTCTTAACCACTCTGTAATCCCATGCTTTAAAGATCTCAAAAAATGTACATTTACTTGGACGTAGGCCCGTATCAGCACAGAGAACCATGTGGAGGGAAACACACCTAAGTATCCATGTAGGTTACTTCAGGGGCCAGACACAGAGAAGGATGGAGGGAAGGGGTAGACACTAAGTTAAATTAAATATATGATTGTTTTCTTTTTTTTAGTGGTAAGATCATATTCCTTCCCGGGTCTTTTGTGCTGTTGCTGTTATGTGCCGTCGAGTCAGACCCAACTCATAGCGACCCCTCCTTGGGTTGCCGAGGCAGTATCACTACAGAAGATTGCCCAACTCGTGGCTGGTGGGTTTGAACCACCAGCCTTCTGGTTAGCAGTCAAGTCCCTTAGGCACTATGCTACTCCGGGGTCTTTTAATATAAATAATTTTTAAAACAACTATTTTTGTAACAACTATTTTAAAAGAAAGAAAGAAGGTTTCAAAGAATCTTGAGAGGAGGACTCAACTGGGGCCCCAGCATCATGCCTGCTTAGTCTTGGAGTGTGCAAACTTCCCCAGTTATGAACTCAGATCATGCCTGGTTCTGACTGACACAGAAAGCCACAGGGAGACCACAGGGGCTCAGGGAGCACGGATCTGAACAGTCCAGGGCTGAAAGGAGAAATATTTGCATGTTTGCCTGGGGTGGGGGTGAGGGGTGTTTGCCTGGTGGGGGGGTGGTGTTTGTACATGCATGTTTGCTTAAAGCACTGTCCTTCTCAAATTTAGGCTTCTGCTTTGATCAGTCTGTTATATTATAACCATTTCCAGTTACAAGACTATTGCAGTCACAGTGCCAACTCTACAGAAGGATCTCTCAGATAACAAGCAAAGACTCCTGAATCAAATGTCAAGAACCTTTATTCCCAGCAAGGGGTGAGCATGTTAAAAGTTCTCCTCAAAGATCTGAAGTGATTGCGTTGATTTTTCCAGACTGTGAGAATGAACACCTCATTAGAATTTAGCCTTTAAGCAGAAAGCTCCTCAACATCCTTGAACACCTGTTCTTAAAAAGAAGATAATGAGACAGTCACTTCAAATAAGATCTGAAGGACAGTTAATAGTACAGGTATATAACACATCCATACAAGACAAACATTGTTAGATGGCAGATATAGATGACTAGATAAACAAAGAAATGAAAATAGTAACAGTTACCCAGGACCAGGTAATAACAGTAGGTACCAAAGCACTGTGCTATGCAATTTACATGGAGTGGAAGACACTCCCAGAAATGTCTCAAGCTTTCTCTGGTTAGGAAGGTACAAAGTAATATATCTTCCAGTTTCTGTGTCAACGCGAACTATCTTTTATTTATTTATTTATTTATAATGGTCTTTCCTATAAGGATTTTTTTTTTTTTTTTGTTGTTGTAGTTTGGGTGAGAATTCACAGAGCAAATTAGTTTTCCATTCAATAATTTAGATACACTTTGTTTCTTGACACTGGTTGCAATCCCCTCAATGTAACAGCACCCTTTTCACTTCCTCCTTGGGTTCTCCATTTCCGTTTGTCCTTCTTTCTTGCCGCTTCCTGCCTTCTGAGCTCCATTTTTGGGCAAATGCTGCTCTTTTGGTCTCATATAGTTGACTGTACTGAGAAGTACATTCCTCCGTGATGCTGTTATTCCCTGCACAGGCCTGTCTATTATTTGGCTGAAAGCTGATCCCGGAGGCGGGTTCAGTTCCAAGCTGGAAAGGTCTAAGTAAGTATCTTTTACGATGCTAAACCAACCATTGAATTTCCTACTGTGCAAATTGGAAACGCTAAATGACAGGACTTACCTGGAGAATCTGCATTCTGTGGGGAGAGTGACTTCTCCAGGGACTCGGATTCTTTTTGCTCTGTTTTCTCTCTGGTTGAACCCATCACCTCTTTGTTTCTTTCTCTTTGCTCATCCTGGTCCTCATTTTCAATCTTGTTGGTATGAGTTTCATCAGCTTCTTCCAGCATGAGGTCTTTTTTACCTCTGACAGCCCAGTGCATTGACTAAATTCATTAAAACAGACACACAGATTACAAATCAAAACTTGTAGTTTTCTATATTTAAAGTTCAATATGTAGTACTTATGACCATTATTATAGTGGTGATTATCAGAATGTCAGACTTCATTATTAACCAGATGTTAATCAATTAATCCTCACTGATTTAGAAGATTAATGTTAAAAAGGGAAACCCATATCATAAGGAGCATCAGAAAGGTTTAAAGAGGTTCCTCAAAAACAGAAACATAGAACTATCACAGACCCAAAATTCCAATACTAGCCATATACCCAAAAAAACTGGGTTCAATCAAAACCTTATACATGAATGTTCATACCAGAACTACTCACAATAGCCAAAAGGTGAAAACAACCTAAATGCCCATCAGCTAAAGAATGGATACACAAAATGTGACCTAAACATCAATGGAGTATTATTCAGGCCATAAAAAGGAATGATGTACTGATACATCCTACAACATAGATGAACCTTGAAAATATTATGCTAAGTGAAAGAATCTAGGCATAAAAGGCTACATATTGTATGATTCCATTTATATGAAATGTCTAGAGTAGGCAAATCCATAGAGACAGGAAGCAGATTAGTAGTTGACAAGGGCTGGGAAAAAATAATAGGGAGTCACTGCTTAATGAGAAAGGAGTTTCCTTTTGGGGTGATGAAAAAGTTTTGGAATTAGAGAATGGTGATGGATGTACAATGGTGTGATGTACTTAATGCCCTTGAATTGAATTGAATATTTTAATTTTTATTTTTATTATTATTTTTATTTTAAGAGCTTGTTTTACAATCAACGTCATGCGTACATTTAGTTTCATTCCCCATTTGCCATGTCCAGCCCTAACCCAGTCTCCTCCCCTCCCTACCCTGTAACCCTCGCCCTCTGCCCCTCATATTTATGCACTCCTGTTTGTCCTGCATTTCTTCAGCTTGAATGTTGGTCCTCTGATGTCCCGTGGTCTATTGCTCTAAGGGATGTATTACCATTGAGGGTGTGGGTGCGGCATCCTGGGTTGAGTGGTCTGTGGTACATCTTGTTAACTATTGGGGTGAGAGCCCGCCCCTGGGGGTGTGTTTTATTCCAGGTGCCAAATGTATTTCAGGGCCATAGTATTGGAAGTCTCACCAGATTTCATCTGACCAGTAATGCTGGTCATTATTGAGCTTTTGGATTTTGTTCGACATTTTCCCTCCCACTCTATCGAGGATCTCCGGATTTGAACCTTTCCTGAGTGGTTGGCATTGGTAGCCGGCACCATCCGGTTTTTCTGGTCTCGAGGGCCATTTGTCCTAGGTTTGATTGCTTCTAATGCCCTTGTTTTTGTTTTTTGCTAATTGAATTTGTGAATTGAATATTTTTAAATGGTTAAAATGGAAAATTTTATGTGATGTGCATTTCCCCACAATTTAACCAAAAAAAAAAAAAAGATAAACTTTAGAAAATTGGGACTACATGCCTTGAGCCATGTCAGAGATTAAACCAACTTCTACTGTGACTATAACCCTTCCCTCCCAGCAATGATCAATCCAGAGTTGGCAAGTACTAGAATTCCAAACTACACATATTCTCTTACACTCGTAGCACAAAGCAGGAATTTAATCAATACAGTATTTGCTGAACAGATTTCTGGTAATGCAGAATGTTACTGAAAGGAGAGAGACACAAGTCCTCTCAAACATTATACAATATTATGAGGGAAATGTGGCGATATCTATCAAAATTGTACTTATTCATAAACTTTGACCCCAGTAAAGCTGGTAGAGTTATACTGACAAACAATTAAGAGGAAAAAGGAAAGAGAAACACCACCAGCAACCATGATAAAATGAACTCTTCAAAAAAAAGTATGGGATTGAAATGGAAGGGACAGTGAAGAAAGGAAATCCTCTCTGAGTACAGATTTTTACTTTGGACTTTTAGAACCATATTAACATTTTATATATTTAAATTAAAGAATGGCAGAAAACCTTTCAATTAAACGTCAACAGAAACAAAGGAATCTAACTATTTCAGATGAGTAATATAAACTATGTGACAGAAAAATAAATAAACAACCAATATAAATAACTCTTTTTAACTTGGTGTTTTGATTACATGCCTTCAGTCTAAACAAAAGTATGAAAAAATCTTGAACTCATTTTTAGGTGTGTTTTTCACGATGGTGTGGATGTATCAATTCTGAAACTATTTTGTGTGTATTGTAGGACAAGTATATATTAATGTTACTGAGAGCCAAGGGTCTCCTGAAGGAAAAGGCAAACACAAACACAGAATGAGGGAAGAGAAGGAAGAATTCCGCGGCATTGGATTGGAATCAGAGGCGTTAGTATGAATTCATGATTTTAAAAATACTGGAATATGAAACGCTCACTTTTCCCCTCGGGTCTGCCTGCTGAAAAGGCTGAGGAACAACAGTACCTCAGTAGCAATGAGCACAAAGAGAACTCAGATCTTGGTTTCTAACACCATTCCCCACTAAAAGGAATCCAGGACTCTCTGCAGAAGAGCTAATTCTAGTACTAAAGCATGGGAAGTACAAGATGAATGTGGATCATCGTGTTATACCATGAAGTGAAGAACTGTTTGAAAAAATGATGGTGACATGTCCAAAGACAAAGGAGTCACCTTAAAGGAATGCTTACTAGCAGAATCGGGAAAATTCCCAGCATCAGAATGACAGTAATGATTGTATCTCACTGAATACACATCCATGAGTCAGTGCTGATAACAAGTAAGTAAACAAAAGTAATAAGGGAGAAGGGAAAGCTCTTCCTTGTAGTAGAATGCCAAGTATAAATGCAGACACAATGATGGAGTTAGGAAAATCACCACTTTAGAAGCACAGTAATAACAGAGTCAGGAAAGCATCATCGAAAGATGTAGAAACTATTGGGTGAAAATGTGAGGAAAATCAGGATAATTACCTAGTCTCAAAGTTTCTCCCCTCAGGTAAAGTCTTAATAGCAAAAGCAGAACCTTTACGGTGGAGAAACCTGGTGGACACCATCTCAACTGAGTGATCAACACTAACATCACCAATAATGAGACGAATTGGCATCATGCACCTCCTAATGCAATGCACTGAGGACACGACACTTCAGAAGTATTCCTGCCCAAAGTAGATAATCTGAATCCAATCATAAGGAAACATCAAACAGCCTACATCCAGGGACTTTCCACAAAACAAATGACCTCCTTAAAAATGGTAATGTCTTACTGCAGTGGCTAAGAATAGAGTACGCGAGACCATCTCCCTGAGATTCCTCATAGACCTTGAACCAAAACTAGCTCCTGAGGTCACCTTTTAGCTAAATAACAGATTGGCTCTTAAAATAAAGACTGTTACCAGTGAGTACTGCATATCTTTAAAAAAAAAAA